CTGAATCGCCCCGTCCAGATTCCTGTCCTGAGCGCCGCCGCTCTCGCCAGTTCTTCGTCGCCGCCGAATCCGCCGCCGCGCCAGCCAGGAGCTGACCCCAAGAAGCAGGCGCTTACCGCAAGGCCTGGATGGTTGATCAAGTTTGGACATTGCCTCATCAGTCATCATCGTCTAGAAGCGGAAGAGCCCTCTCTCGAGTCCTGGCTATCGGCCGGTGATCGAAATTGTCCGTCCTCTCGCCGAGCGATACTCTTGTCTGAAGCTGCTGCTTCTGTCCGACCCACGTCCCCAGCCCAACTCTTCTTCCTACGAGCCCTCGATCGCCATCCCCCTCCTTCCATCCGAGCCGAATATCTACAAACACAAAATCTATCCACAAGATAGAGACAAGCCACAAGAAAAGCAAAATGAACTCATTGTCCCCCATAAACACCTCGGGCGGCATGTCGGCGGCGTCCTCAACCGGCGGCAGTGTCTCGCCTCGTCAGGCGCCGAGCCCCAAGAACGTCGCATTTGAGCTGCTGTTCCTCGAATCGCCTCAATACCGTGCGCGCCTGCCCATGCGAGTCCAGATCTACCCTCATGACACCACGGACTCGATTGTCACAACCGTCAAGAACTTTTACGGCTTGTACTCGGGCCCGCCCGGGTCAAAAGGCGTCAGCTTCGAGGACGAGCTTGGCAACACCCTGATTGCGCGATATGAAAATTTCCGCAACAACATGGTTGTCTACGTCCGAGTCATCGAAGAGGCTCCCGGCGCCGCCCTGGAGTCGCATCGCTATCGCGGCCTTCACATGGGCGCCGACTCCTACTACGGCGGCGATGCCTACGCCCTGCCCCAGCGCTTCGGCCCTGACATGGCCCGCTCCAATTCCACATCACCACGCCGCCGCAGCCCTTCGCCCAACGTGTCGCGGGGACGCAGAAGCGACTCGACCAGCTCCAATGGCAAAAAGGGTCGCTCTCGCTCCACCAAGAGCCGAGCGCTTCAGGGCCACGCTGATGCCTACGACGAAAGCATGAATGGCTACAGCAGCGGCGACGGCGCCCCGAGCACCACGTCTGCCCGGACCAAGGAGCAGCTCGGAACCACCGACATCAGTGTCGAGAACATTGTCGAGGGCGGCCGACGAAAGAGGGCCAAGTTTGAGAGCTCTGTAAGTCT